GGCTCTTGTCTGTCATGTGATCCCCTGTTCTAGTCATGTGATCTTGTCTTGTGTTCCCTTGTATCATGTTGTCATTGGTTGATTGTTTAAATGCTCACAGGTGTCCCTTACTCGTCGTCGTTAGTCCAGTATACTGTATTTAAACTCTCATGTTTGCTTTGTGCCTTTGTTTGCGAGTAGCCTATTGTTTGTTCTACCTGCCTGGCTCCAGTATCTTTATCTCTAGTCTTTGTGTTTCTACCATAGACTGTAAAAAAAGAAGGTTTCTACTTAGTGAATCTTGTTTTGTAAAAAATTGGGTTTGGGTTCTCACCTCAACTTGCTTCCAGTGGACTTAATTGTAACATTTATAAATAGTCGTATAATTTTCTGGTTGACGCTACTAAACCTAATTTTGTTTTCACACAGTAATTCAAATTTTGGGATGTACGACACATTTTTGCAATGTGATATACTGTGACAGACATGTTGTTACACTGCAGCTGTTCTACTGAGTCAGACTGTTATGATTGGCTATAATGTCATAATTGCAGAGGAAACGGTGGCTGCATCTGAAAAATTGAAGCAGGCTGCCTCGATGTAATGCTGCGTTTGTTCACAGAGGTACCTCACAAAACGAGTATTATGAAGCTGCAGACTCGGAGACCTGCATCTACAGTCCCCCTGCACCCAGAGTCCCGCATTCTCAGACCCCTCGTTTTTCGAGACAGCGCCTCCTATCAAATTGTATCGGATAAACATAAACGTGAGTAGGCTATCTTCAATTTTATTTAGCGAATCGTAGTAGCCTACTCGTTTGATTCATTTTTTTAATAAAACTAATTTAGCTCATCGATACAACATATGAATAGTCCATTGAATATTTGTAAAGTTAGTTTGTAACAAGATTTGAGCCGTTAATGTAGGCTATGTTTTTTCGCCCTTTTCCCCCGAAAATATTTAGATAGCTAACGTTTATAATTTAGCTTTGAAACATCATAAGACATGTGCTATCGTCCTATGTTGTAGGCAGGGTACACCATACATCGATGGAGTTGCCCCTGCCTAACCCAGCAACATCATTTTAGGATTATGCAAAGCGACTTATAAATGAGTTTTTTAATGCAATTGAAGACGAAAAGTAAAGTCACGAACACATTTTTTCCTTCCTTTTTTCTTTACAGCAAGATGATGTTTAGGTGATCATTATCTTAAATAAAGTAGGAATTGTTTATTTTATTGGTGTTTTGTCTATTCTGATTTGTTTTGCTTCACATTCAAAATATCAAAAAACAGATTTTGTAATCTTAGCATCGTAATGTTAATTAGACCATTATAGGTTGAACTGAAAGAAAAATTGGAATTTGAATAAAAAAATATTTAAAAAAAAAACAATATAATATCACATACTATTTTTCTGAAGATAGTTCAATCTGTAATTGTATCCCTTCCATCAGTAACAATTAGTTTTTTTCTGCACATAGGGAACGCAAATATTTATTGGATAATTTATTTGGAGACCGTAATATTGCATCCTATTGTTTTTAATTGCATTTGGATAATCGTACGCTGTACTCTGTGTGTGGGTGTTATTCGACCTTTTGAACAGCAGGAAGCGCTGTGTTCGAAAAACGAGGGGTCTGAGAATGCGGGACTCTCGGTGGGGGACTGTAGATGCAGGCTCCGAGTCTGCAGCTTCATAATATTGCACAAAACTCATTTCTGAGGCAGCCTAATGGTTTAATGATTTACAGCAAAACAGGGAGAGCTTTGGAAGTGAATATTTAATTAGCTAGCCGGCTACAATAGTAATTTCTCATTAGAAAGGACATCAGAAGTGGAAAACGCTGGTCAAAAACGTAGGCCTATGTTACATTTTTACCAACGCATTTCTATCCTTCAGCGTCATATAGAACGCTATATGACAAAACGGCGATATGATACGCACATGGCACCCGTTATCGTTACTATAACACGCGTTGTGATGGTTAGGTTTAGGTGTGTGGTAGGGTAGTCTCATATTACGCTAAAGGATTTATGACGCTTTGGGTTCGCGTGAATATTAACGATAAAGGGTGCCATGTGCGTATAGCGCCGTTTTGTCATATAGCGTTCTATGTGACGCTAACTCTCAGACAGCATCCTTATTTTTCTTGCCCAACTGTCAAAGAATGGAAAGCACAGGATTGTGGGATATCAAAGGCAAACGAAGTGAACAACTTACACAAGTCCGTTGGCGAAGGACATCGATTATCATTTCATGGAAGTAATTCGTTTATGGTCATGTGAACAGGTGGCAAATCCTCACATATAAATATGGCGGGAGAGTTGACGTACAAACAAAATATAATCATATTCATATTTAGAAAGTTTTCTAGGTAAGAAATGTATTTAACTTATTAAGTTAGAGCAGGCCGGGAACACACACAAAGCATATTTTAAAAAGCACATTATAATGTAGCCTACATTTATTTATAATATATTAATAGCGTTGTTTATGATGCCTTCAAAAATCACTCAGATAAGGTATCCCAGGAGACAGAAAGTGAAGTTAACATTGGATTCGGATTTCGGCTGTATTGATGCCTTCCTACCTTGGAATGCATCCTCCGAAGGCAGCTTTTATTGCACAAGAGTAAGTGCATTGATAACGTTATCTATATATTAGGCCTAGCGTCCTTTACAACGTATTATTAAATCATTTACTTGTGGTTTGTGACGCTGCTGCTGTTAAATCCAATCCAGTTGCTGATTCATCTTACACAAAATGTATTTGCAAACTCTCCATTACACTGTGTCTCGTTTAAAGGGGACCTATTATGCAAAATTCACAAAAATTCAAAATGTGTTTTTAATTCCCATAAATCATAAGCAGTGTAACAATTAAGGCCCCGCCCATGACTGCTGACGGACTCTGCCCCGCCCTGAGTGAGTTGTACACGATCTGCTATGTTCATCTCCTCACCAGAACATTCAAGTAAGAAATGAATTCTTATAAGAGTTATTCAGTCACTTTTTTTGTTTGATTCATATTAACAACATACATAGCAATAGACACTGTGCGGCTTTGTTACACACAGATTTAATATACACATGCGATTTCTTGCTGTTTACATTCAGACCGACTGTGTTGTGAACTTTGTGTGTTTTTGAGATAGCCTTGTGTGTATTTCACAGTTTAAGCGCAATACGACGTGAAATATAACTTAATTTAAGGGTGCTTTCACATCTGTTCATTTTGTCTGGACCAAGGGTGAAAAATTATACTTTGTAGCATTTTTCAGGGGTTTTGGTTCGTTTTCACCCCACACTGATTGCTCTGGCCCGAATCAGTTGATGAGTAGATGAAACAAACCAAAATATTCACATTACTCGTTGGCCAGGTATGTCTTGAACATATTTGCATAACTGCACTTCGATTGGTCAGAACCACAGTCTATGGTCCGAACGCACGTGAAAATTCCAAAATAACTCTGCTGATACACACAACCGGCGCGGCGTCATAGAATGTCTCTGAATCGGTTCACGCCCACTTTTGGGGGAAAACAAAGTAGACTCCCCATAGACTTCAATACAAAATAACAGCAAAAACTAACGTCCGTACAGCCGACAGGCGTAAATAACTTAATAAATCACTTATATAAAACATGTCAAGTAATTACATGTCCACCCTGCCTGCCACACAGCGTGAAAGATACATACACAAACTTAATGTGGTCAATTTAAAAACATGTCCCTTTGTTCTCTCAGCGTCAAATTGGGGTAACAACCCCACCCAGTGGCCAGAGGTGTCTTACCCGGACATTTACTTGTTGTAACTAATCGAGTCACCAGGGGTGCTTCTCATTTCTTATTTGTGCATCCTCGTTTCCTTTCCTTGCTTCCTTTCCTTGCGTCTCAGCTCCACCCCCTGTAGGACGTGAGGGAAGGAAGCGAGGAAAGGAAAGGAGGACAGAGGAATCGAATAAAAGCTTTTTTATATACATTGGAGTACTTGATCACTCGAGCGTCACTCCACAGTGTCATCAGCAGCGCTAAAAGGATCTGCCCTTATGTTGTTGAAGTTTGGTAATTCATAATAAATAATAATAAAGATAGACTATACTGTTGAAATATCTGAGATGTGTGGTTTATATAAACTGCAAAGGTAAAGTATAAATTAAAATGATTGTGACCGATGTGAAGGGGGAGGAGAATTGACACGTGCGTCACGTTTAGTCAGTATAACAGTTCCGCGTAGGATGCACCTGTGTATCCTTGCTTATGACTCCTCAGGAAGCCTCCTATCTCCTCGATCCTCGACTCCTCACGGTGCAATTAGAGAATTGAGATGTCCTTCAAGATGGCTGAGCTCGATCGGTTTCCGGGTCATAAGAGGGAGGACGGAGGAGCGAGGAGACGAGGAGGGATATTGAGAAGCACCCCAGGTAAGCCCCTGAATGATTTTATTTCGTTTTTTAAAGTAAAAAACCTTAATGCATATATTATGAATTTATGATGATGATGGCAGGTAGCCTGGGCAAGTTGATAACGGGCATAAAAAATGTATCTTTCATGCTCTGTGGCAGGCAGGGTGGACATACTTGACATGGTGTGTTTATTTATTTCTAAGTTATTTCTTAAGTTATTTACGCCTGTCGGCTGTGTACGGACGTTGGTTTTTGCCGTTATTTTGTATTGAAGTCAAGACCTTATTCAGAGCAGCGCCATGACGGGTATGAAAGTGAGGCTGTGAGGGATAGACTTACCGTGTTTCCAATGGCATCCGCTGTAAAGAGCTGAATAAAGCTCCTAGATTACTTACAAATTTCCACAGCTTACATTGTCGGGAGTTTTTTGTCAACTGACATTTCTTGGAAAGATATTTTTCCAGTGTTTCATGAGCGGAACAATCCGAAAACATATTAAATAACAGTACAGTCCATTGAATAGATGCATGACTATCCCTCACAGCCTCGCTTTCATTCTCGTTAAAAATCAAAGATGGCGCTGCCGTGAATAAGGCGTATGGGGAGTCTAGTTTACAAAATTGACAGTTAAGTTCCCGGATGTGTCGGTTGTGTGTATTCTCTATGTTCAGGATCAGCACACGCTTTATCCTTTCGCAAATCCCCTCATAAACAACAAAGTATAGACGCGACATAAATAAGAGATTCACTGTGCAGTGTTTATGATGAGTGTTTCAGTGACAGTGCAGAACGCGGTAAGTCAGTCATGGCTACGGAAGCTGGTTTAGTCCAAAAATGCACAGTTATTTGTCAGTTGGGTCTGTTCAAGGTCGATCACGTTCTCACCACAAACGAACCGCTCCAGAGTTCGTTTGAAAGCGTCTTCGAGGAGGTCTCGGTACACTTCTTTGGTCCGCTTTTGGTGCGCACCCGGGTGCGATTGCTGCCTTCACACCTGCCCAAACGAACCGCACCAAGTAAAGGGTGAAAACGAACTCTAGTGTGATTCAACCGAATTAAATGAGGCATGTTTGAAAGCGTCACGGGACGCGCTGTCTGACAGCTAGCTTTCTGACTAATGTTAACAAATGGACACACATTTCCTTTAATACTTTTCCACTTAATCATGTTAGAACAAGTGCAGAGGATAATCATTTAGACATTTTATTTTGCATACATTTCATATTTTTTACAAGAATATAGATTACTGTGGTGGTACTATTTTGTATATACCATTCGTCTTCTTTATCCTATTATTTAATTGGAAATGTGAGGTAGTTCCACTGATGGTAAACCGGTAACACTTTACAATAAGGTCAATTAGTTTACATGTATTTATTTAGCTGACGCTTTTATCCGAAGCGACTTGCAATTGCTATATACCGTATGTCAGAGGTCACACGCCTCTGGAGCAACTAGGGGTTAAGTGTCTTGCTCAGGGACACATTGGTGTCTGACGGTGGATTCGAACCTGGGTCTCTCACACCAAAGGCATGTGTCTTATCCACTGTGCCATCATCACCAATTAAGAAAAGTCCGCCAAATTAACAAAAAATTATAAATACTGTAACAAATGTGCGCAATGTTAGTTAACACAATAACTAATGTTTACTGATTAACCTAATTGTAAAGTGTTACCGGTAAGTCTTTTATCTGATGAACCTTTATTTTATTGGGTTTCCCCATTTTTCCCAAGAAGACTTTGCTTTGCTGACTTATAACAATCAGTAATTTTGCTCTCTTTTCTGAACTCGTTTTAGAAGAAAGTAATACCCAATAGAATCCAGACCGCAGTTGGTCGTAGCGATCCACTCGGACACATCAAGAAACACATGCACAAAGTTTTTGCCGGACTCATCAGATAAATATTGCAGCAGAAGACCAATGTGAACAGGTGTGAAGCAAACTATGAACGTGAACATGTTCGCGGCAATAACAGCAGTGATTTTTTTCCTTTCCACTCTATCCCTACCCCCAACATGCCGAAGCGATCTGACCAGGATGTAGATGGTTTGTGTGGAGCAAAATATGACGACGACTACTGGTATAAGATACCCTAAAATCTCCAAAAGCAAGAAAAAAGTTAGTTTCAGCTTTTTTGTCAGCTTTCGATCATAACAGTGCTCTAAATGTTCAGGGAGAAGGTCTTTATAGTTACAAGCGCAGATCACCGCTACGATCACCCAGATGATAATGCACTCTGTGGTGGCGATAATCCTACTTTTGGGGGCCAGTGCCTTGGTCAGAAACGGAAACCTGACGGATATGAACCGGTGGATGCTGATGGCTGTAATGATGAAGATACTGCAGTACATGTTGGAGTATTGGGTGCACAGCAGGAACGAACACAAAACGTCCGGCTTTATTGGACAGAAGGCCTCCAGTATCCTGAAGGGAAGAAAAAGAGTGGCCAAGAAATCGGCAGCCAGCAGGTTGATCATGTAGATGTGCGTGTCTGTCCAGCACTTGATGTGACAGAACATGTATAGAGCCGTGATGTTGAAGGAAAAGGCCACTGCGAAGACAAGTATGTAGGCCACACGTTCAAAGAGATGGAGCGACGCATCTATGTGGTTCATCGGTGAACTGCAGTTAAAGTCAATCTAGAAGACAACCAGGAATATAAGGGTTAGTTATTTCAGTGGAGAAGCAAATTGTAGATGTTTCTAAGTTTGTAGATGTCACCTTACACTCTTAGAAGAAAAGGTTCTATATAGAACCTTAAAAGGTTCTATCAGCGCTACGTATTTGAAACCCCTAAAAGGAGGTTCTATACACTATAAAAAGGGTTCTTCTGGGTTCTATATAGAACCCTGGGGTTCCATACTTGGCCAATAGAAACTTTTACCAAAAAAATGGTTCCATATAGAACCATTTTGGAGTTCCATATATGAAGCGGGGGATGGAACCATTTCTGGTTCTAAATAGAACCATTTCTTCTAAGAGTGTAGGGTCACAATTTTGAGCAATCAACGCTGATACTTCACTTTTCTTTAATAATTCCTGCTCATTCTTCCTTTAGAGAATATGGCAAACCTTGTCTGAGAGATAAATTGGTAAGAGTCTAATCAACTGGTGTTTCTGTGTTTTTTATTGGAAGTGTGAAATCAGTTCTTCTCAAGTTTTCAGGTGTGGTGGGATAGTTGATCACATTAAAGGAGTAGTTCACTTTTAAAAAAAAAACTTTTGCTGATAATTTACTTACCCCCATGTCCTCCAAGATGTCCATGTCTTTCTTTCTTCCTTCGATCGAAAAGAAATGAAGGTTTTTGATGAAAACATTGCAGGATTTCATTTCACTTCATTGGGAACCAAATGGTTCAAGGTCTAAATGAGAGTTTCAGTGCAGATTCAAATGACACCAGACGATGAATAAGGGTCCTATCTAGCGAAATGATCAGTCATTTCAAAAATAAATAAAAACTTTTATGTTTTATAAGCACAAATGCTCGCCATGCTCTGTTCTGTGATGCACGTTCGTGACTCTCCTGTTCGAAATTTTTCATCAAAATGAACAAATGTTTTTTCGAGTCATGAGGGTCCTAGATAAGACATCGTCTGGTGTCGTTTAAAGCCCTTTGAATCTGCACTGAAACTCTCATTTGGACCTTGAACCATTTGGTTCCCATTGAAGTCCATTATATGGAGAAAATCCTGGAATGTTTGCATCAAAAATCTTAATTTCTTTTCAACTGATGAAAGAAAGACGAGGACATCTTGGATGACATGGGGGTCAGTAAATTATCAGCAAAAGTTTTTTTTAAGTGAACTACTCCTTTAAAGGGATAGTTCACCAAAAAAAAATACAATTCTGTCATCATTAAAACACTATGGAAGTCAATGGGGCCCATTAACTGTTTGATTAGCCTATACCCATATTATCTTCTTTTCTATTCAGCAGAAGAAAGAAATTCATACAGGTTTACAACAACTTGAGGGTGAGTGAATGATGACCGAATTTTCCTTTTTGGGTGGAGTATCCCTTTAACTATGAACTAACATTTCACAACCAGAAAGTGTACAAATACATTTTGATGAACGCTTAATCTATTGTTTTAGCATATAAAGCCTAACGCACTTGTTTTTTGTGTAATATATCTAGCTTGAGAATGTGCTTTCTGCTAAATAAATACCACATGCTTTGATATTTTGTTATCTAAGACAATTATTGTTACTATTGTGCCTTAAACATCTCAATATTTTTAGGGCCACTGTACTTCAGAGTATAAAGAGCAAAGTGCAGATAAGCGCGGTGAACAAACAACAATGTGGTTTGAAATCAGTCACATAGGCCTATCTTGACAGGAAGTGTAGAAAAGTTTGTTTAGACAAAACTTTAACAACTACAGTAGTTGTTTGTAATGAATAATAAGTTCACAAAAAAGTGCTTTAATTGTTTATGATTTGATGTTGTGGTGTAAAATTGTTCTAAACGATCAGGTAATTTGTAATATTTAGCATGCAAGTAGTAATATTTTTCTTTAAAGCCCTGAATACAAAATCATACCATGTTCAAAGTTTTTTAAGTTTTGCTAGTATATTTGTGCTACAGTTGATTACATTACTAGAGAATAGTTTTAAAATTTGTTATATGATTTTAGTGTTTATTGATTTTTTTTTTATTGCTGTCGCTATATAAATATTAAAGGAATAAATAAGTGTATAAACAGGCTAAATTTGACATTGACTTTGAAGTTATCAATCAAAATAATTCTGTAAACTTGATTACTTAAACTCTTTCAAATAAAAATCTTCATTGTCATTTTAATATAACCTCCATTATTCCTTCATTTGCATGATTTAACAACAAGATCAACTCACCATGGTTTACTGCTTGTTCTTCTCTCAACACCGCTGCTCTCAATGGTGTGAGAAGTGCTGTGTTTTAAAGAACTGAAACGTGCAAGTGGGCTGTGTTGCATGAGCTGACAGCATGCGCCTCTCTTCTGCTGATGCTGAATGATGTGGTGACTTCTGTTTGAACATAAATGAACTATAAAATGACAGATAGCTCACTTACTCTCTCATTGCTGGTCACAGTTTTCCATCCAAAGTTTTGGTTACATGCAATTCTTACATGGAAAAAAGTTTACTGGAAAAAAATAACTTCCATTGTGAAATGGACATATATGGAAAAAATGTGTGGTGTTTGTGGCGCTCATTCAACACTTCACCATGACGCTTTAGCTCCCACACTATTAGCATCAGACGTCTAATGGACAGGCGGATCACGTCTATATTGCGTCAGTTGGTCCAAGACCAATTTTTGACCTTTATGCAACATGCAAACTAGGTCCGCTATTTGGACATCTAACTCTGACCACACCTGGACGTGGACATTTGATATAGACATTTGAACGCTGGAATAGGTATTTTTTCTGTATGTTATATGGAATGAGGCATTAATCATTGAAATGCTTTGCTTTGGATGCATTTTTTAATGTTAAATATTAATATTGTTTTTCAACGTGATTCATTAGTGGTCTAGGTCTAAAGCAGAAGTAGTTTGCACGTCGTGATGACATTCAGATTGGTCCGGATATATGAAATAGGAAGTCCCCCCTGCAACAGGAAAAGGCTGCCCCGCCCTCAGTAAACACATCATCAGAGAAGAGATGTTGCTGCACAGGTAAATCATTTATAATTATATAACAATATTGAATATTCCATAAATAAATAAAAAAACAGAAAAAAATACAATTTGATAATAAAACACACTGTAAAAAATAATTTTTTTGGTGAAGTAAATACTAGTGAAAAAAACAATGTAATTTACTTAAAAAAGTTAGTTCAGGAAAAGAATTTAAAAAAACTAAGTAAATTCCATATCAGTACTTAATTCAAGCGAGTAGAAATGAAAGTGTACATATCAACTCAATAAAATTAAGTAAAAATTGCTCAACTTTTCTGATACTGGGGTTCCCATCATGCACTGGACCTTGAATAATTAATGAGGCTCATTTTTCACTGGTTTCCAGCTGTATTTACACTGTTTTATCATTGATTTTTGTTGTCAGTATTAGTAACTTGCCATTTTGTGACATTTCGAGTAAATTTTTTTGCTCAAAACGACCCATCAAATGTTACCGCCATTGTGTATTGTCTACCAAGTATTGAGGTGTTTGCATTCACATGAGGCTTAACATCTGACATTATGTGATATAAATTACTTAGATGATCTAAGTAAAGCACATACTATAAATGACTAATAAAATTTAAGATTATTGTTTTAGTGAAATTTAATACAAAGGCAAAGGAAATCGATATTAATCAACCTTTTACTAGCCGAGTTAAAATTACGTATTTTTTGTAAAGTTTACTTAATTCCATATTCCAAATTTTAACTTAAAGATTTCTAATTAAAGCTACTTATAAATATGCTTAGGTTTTTACTTGGCAAATCTTTGTAAATTTACTAGCATTTTCTGAGTGAGAAAATTTAGCAAGCTTTCAAGTAAATCCTACTCCAATTTTTTTACAGTGCACTGGCACCTGCCAGCATGACAGTCTGGTTTATTCATGACAACCTCGTACACATGATACAACTTAATTTCTTTCTTTTCTACTTTAAATCGGTTTGTTCTCTTCTCTCTCTCTCTCTGTTTTCTTTCTGTATTTGTTCGTGTACCATATTGTAGTTTGAATGTAGTCAATCAGAACATTTTTTTTCCAGACCACTCTTTTTATTCTTTCTCAAAATTACTTTTCTTCGCATCTTTAGAAATCTCCAGGGGACAAAAAAAATAGATTGATAGATGTGTGCCTTAATACGCATTTCAGGGTCAGAGTCTAGGGTCTCTGTGATTGAAAAAGGGTAAAAATGAATGGCCGGTTTCTCTCTTGCTGGAATGGTCTGGACGGCATCTTTTTTTCTTGATGGAACATCCAAAGTAGGTCAGCTGAACACTTCTGTTGGAGAATCAGGGACAGAAACCTGCCTGTATTAAATCAATCAAAGCTTTCAATGAAGCTTTATCGAATTTATTATATTAACTTGAATTAATGGATGAATTAGAAATCTGATTAGCTGAGGCTGTTATAAAATGGGCGAGATACACAACTCCCCAACTTTGACCGCATATATCAGAAAAAGGTTGAATGAAAGAGAAATAAAAGGCTGGATCTCTGGAGCAAAGACGGAAAATAACACTTACTTACTTAGGGATGTTTTCTTGTCACAAAAATAATGTGAAACACGTATGTGTAAGAGCAAGAGCTTGATGCTTCTGTCCTGTAGAGAAGTTCCTTAGTTCATTACAGCACCGTGTAGATTTTGAACAACGTTGGACTCAGGCTACAGCCCTGCCACACTCCTCTTTTCTGGGTGACGAATTCTGTATATTTGTTGCCAATTCGTATTACACATTTGTCGTTCGAATACATTGACCACACACACACAACTTTGTAAAAGTTTGTAATATAATCCGTTGTGCCAAATAGAATCAAATGCTTTTTTGAAATCGACAAAGCATGCAAATATTTTTCAGTTTTTGGTCTGTTTTACGTGTTTATTGATTCGGGTAAATGTGGTCAGTAGTTCTGCGATTTGAAACGAAGCCAATCTGACTTGAGCTCAGGACTTTGTGTTCGTTAAAGGGATAGTCCAGTTGTAAAATGAGCCTATTTCCAAAAATAAGTGAAGTATCCCTTTAAGGAAGCTTACAATTCTATTGGTTAAAAAACTGCTAAATAACTTCCCCAGATTTCTGCTCACACAAATGCCTTTTTTTTTCCCAATTCCCCAATTGGGTTTTACCTAGAATGTTGTCAGGTCCATTTATATTTTTTTATTTTATTTTTGGCTTTTGAGTTTGTTTATCAATTCTTCATGTGTAATTGGGAAGTCAAATGGATTTTTGATTATTTTTAACCGTCTCTTCATAAGTTTGCAGATTTGGTTTGATCAGACTGTTATTGTCATTGAGTTGTTTTGATGGGATTTCTTTATAAAAGTTTTCAAAATGATTTCTCCATCTTGTATTGGTTGGTCTTGTGGTTTTGTTGTGTTCAGATTATTACACATATCCCAGAGATGATGTTCTAATTATTGTATGCTTTTGGTCAGATGGTGTTGCTTTTTCACTCTAATTGTGTCTTCATATAATTCAAGTTTGGGGAAGTATTTAGTGTTGTTTGGTTCTTTATGTTTCAGATTTGATAATTCGTTGTTTTCTTAATGTTTTATGTCTTTAAATTCTGGGTCTGTGCTTTTAGAACTGAATGTTAAAGAATTAAGACCCTGAATATATTTCATTCATGTCTGTCTGTCTATCTATCTTTCTGTCTGTCTGTCGTGTGCTTGCTGTCAGACAGTGTTTTAGATTAGCATATACGCTGTGGCTGCTGGTGTGTCGCTGCTGCATGCGCTGCTCGCTGTGAATACTGATTCTGAGTCTTACATCAGCTCATGTGCTGTGTGAATATGCTACGCTAGCATTAACACTGCAGAGTTGTTATGTAAGGCCTGACTATCGAGACTCATTAAATCTCTCTGTTTCTCACCAATGATTCCCTTGCTCGCTCACTCTCTCTCTCTCTGAATAGTGGGAGGGAAAAAAATGAAACTGCGTAACCTCTGAACGACCTCCTGAAGTTTGAGAAACCTCAAGTCGAGAGCGAGTGAGAGAGAGGAAACGCTGAAAGTGAGAGTGTCTTGTTTAACTGAAAGCGAGGATGATGGTATTACTGTAAATGGAAGTAGAATAGCTGTAACCATGGGACACCATGCTAACCACGTGTTTTCCTTTTTTTATGATTTGGTATTGTGTGAACGAAGGACAGGAGTGAACAGCAAAAATATAGACAATATAGTGTTTTAGAGTGACTAACTATGTTTAATTGAGTTAAACAGGAAGAGTGTGAGATGAATTAGAAAATATAGTGGACTTCAGGTGGTGAGATTGGGCCTGTGGGGGGTCCATCTACCATGAGCCTCATGATCCATCTACTTTCTTTCTTTCATTCCCTCTTTACAGAGTCTCCAAGGGACATAGTGATAAAAAATATTGGATTTATGGTTATATGGTGTTCATATGAATGTTTTAACCACAGAAAGGCGTCAGTACACTCCGTTTTTCAAGTTCAAATCCTCCAACGTTAAAGGGTTAGTTCAGCCAAAAATGAAAATTAAGTCATTAATTACTCACCCCCATACTGTACCAACCCCGTAAGACCTTCGTTCATCTTCAGAACACAAATAAAGATATTTTTGATTGAATCTGGGAGCTGGATCACTCTTCCATAGGCTTCCTAAGGGACTGGCTCTTGACGGCCCATAAAGTCATTAAAGAAAAGGTTTAAATATTCCATGTGCCTACAGCGGCTCAATTATAAGTTTATCAAGCGACGAGAATACTTTTTGTGCGAAGAAAACATAAATAACGACTTTATTCAACTATTATATTACTTCCTTATGGGCGCATGCGCGAGAACTGAGACGAGGACGTTTTCTCATTCGTCTACTTCTTGTTACCGGCTGCTCACCGCTTAGGAGTTTTACCGCCCCCTACCGTATAAGATGATGTGCTGATATAGCTGGAAGCGCAAAACTTTCTGTTTACAAGCAGAGGAAGACGCGCGCTGTACATACGCTTTTCAATTAGCCTATTTTCCGCACTATAAGGTGCACTTAAAAGCCTTTAATCTTCTCAAAAAACGACAGTGTTCCTTATAATCCGGAGCGCCTTATATATGGATCATCATTTTATCCGGTAGGTGGCGGTAAAACTCCTGCGGTGAGCAGCCGGTAACAAGAAGTAGACGAATGAGAACGTCCTCGTCTCAGTTCTCGCGCATGCGCCCATAAGGAAGTAATGGAATAGTGGAATAAAGTCGTTATTTATGTTTTTTTCGCACAAAAAGTATTCTCGTCGCTTGATAAACTTATAATTGAGCCGCTGTAGGCACATGGAATATTTAAACCTTTTCTTTAATCACTTTATGGGCCGTCAAGAGCCAGTCCCTTAGGAAGCCTATGGAAGAGTGATCCAGCTCTCAGATTCAATCAAAAATATCTTTATTTGTGTTCCGAAGATGAACGAAGGTCTTACGGGGTTGGAACAGCATGGGGGTGAGTAATTAATGACTTAATTTTCATTTTTGGGTGAACTAACCCTTTAATCTACTAACTCTCCTGACTGCTTTGTCGGACAAAATGGCGGTCAGATCACCTGTCAATCAAGCTCCATTTGAAGGGTCAATAGAGCATCACAGTCCCGCCCACAGCCCGAGACAGCGTTGGTGCCGAAAGTTAATTTTCCATTCATTTCTCCCCTTGACATTTTGTAAAACCCATATCTAAAGAGTATTGGAGCATGTCTGAGGATAACCAGCTACGGCTGAACTCATAAGCATACAAC